TATACATATATGTATATACATATATACATAATATATATATATATAGATCACTTACAGCCATGAGGGCACGATGTTTCTGGTTCAACACCTGCAGTTTCTGCTTTGTGGCAAGGATTTGCGCGCTATTGGTGCTCGCATTGGCGATTGTCTGTAGGAACTTTTGTTGCTGTGCAAAGATTGCAATCTGCTTCTGCATCTGGAGAGTCCTTTGCTGCTCAGCAGTGGGTGCATTTGAGCCCGGATTTGTGGGGACAGGTGCAGGTGCAGGGGCGCCCGTGAACCCAGTGGAGGTGGACTGGGAGTTGGCCTGGATATGCGGGGGCAGGTATACATATATATGAGTCGTTCACATTGGGGTTTAAAATATAGATATGCAAGAGATGTGTGTTTGTGTGTACTTCAACAAGAACACCAATTTAGTCCACAAAACAGTGTGCTGCACCCAAAAAAAAAACATAACCAGCAACCTTACGCAGATGCGAATACGCCCAACAGATATACATATATAATACAGATATGTACCTCTATTTTAATACGAGCCGGGGGGGGGGCGGGTGTTGTTTGTCCTGAGTGCATATACGAATAGAGATACCCTGACTGTAGCTAGTGCAGCTATTGTTCGTTCTGTGGGTGCTACTGCCGGTGGTGGTATGTATATGATAGAAGCACAACGACCCACACCCACTGGGAGTGAGCTCAGCATAGAAAAACATATACACAATCACGTATATACAGGTGTATAGTTACACGAACACGTATATAGAAGTAGAACCACTCATAATACACGCAACTATGCATGTGACTAAATACATAGGAAACTAAGTACATACGAATACAGGTGCTTCTATGGTACGCGGCATCGCTTCTGCTGTTGTTGTTGCTACTGGTGCTGATAGTATGTATACGATTGCAACACCATGAACTCTGTATAATACAAGGGAAGAAATCATCGATAGTCATATATACAAGCACGTACACACATATATATATATACTCATGGTACACACAAACATACAAATACGTACAGTACATACATACATACACATACTAATAATACACACAAACATACACATACGTATAGCGCGTACAAACATTCATATACCTATAGTACACACAGCCATACACTTACACATAGTACACACAAACATACACCTACTCACAGTACACACAAACATACACTTACTCATAGTACACACAGGTGTACATAGGAATAGAGGTACCCTCGCCGTTACAGGGTGGCGTTGTTTGGGTATTTATGCATGTACATCGCAATACAGGCACTATACATAAACGTATACACGCACACAGACATACTGATAGCACAGGCAACTATGTATGTACATAGCAATACGGGAACTATACATAAACGTATACACACACACACACATACTGATAGCACAGGTAGCTATGTATGTACATAGGGTTACAGGCATCATACATGCACATATACATACACACAACCTCACAAACATACCAGCACTCACACTTCACCATATACATAGCTATACAAGCAGACCCACCGACAAATGCTGGCGTTGCTGCTGCTGCTGCTGCTGTTGTTGTTGTTGTTGTTGTTGTTGCTGTTGATGGTATGTCTGATACGCTAGCTGACTCTGTTGTTGTTGCTGCGCTTGTTGCGCCTGTTGTGTTTGATTCCGCTGTACCTACAATGTGATGGATATGCGTGTGTGTTATACTAATGTGTGTGTTTGTATGAGTGTGTAGTATAACCATCTATAAATACACCCGTTGAAAAAATAGACCAATCTATAGATAGATACATCTATAAATAGAATCATATACATATAGAAATAGACCCATCTATAAATAGACTCATAAATAACCCCATTTATAAATAGTCCAATCTAAAAATAGACCCATCTATAAATATACTCATATAATTAATACCATTTATCAATAGTCCAATCTATAAATAGACCCATCTATAAATAGGCTCAAACATAAATAACCCCATTTATAAATAGACCAATCTATACAGATCCAGCTATAAATACATATAAATTAACCCCATTTATAAATCGTTCAATCTAAAAATAGACCCATCTATAAATATACTCATGTATAAATAACCCCATTTATAAATAGTACAATTTATAAATAGTCCCATCCATAAATAGACTCGTATATAAATAACCCCATTTATAAATAGTCCAGTCTAAAAATAGACCCATCGATAAATTGACTCATATATGAATAGCCCCATTTATAAATAGTACAATCTATAAATGGACTCATCTATAAATAGACATACCTGAGCCAAGTGAGCCTGGGCTTGCGTCTGTTTGGTCTGTGCATGGGTATGTTTGGTCTGATTTTTCATTTGCTTGAGATGCGCCGCCTGTGCCTGTGCCTGGGCCTGTGCATGGTATATATTGGTGATTGTAATCACGATCAATGTAATGCATGTATGTATGTTTGTATGTTTGTATGTATGTACGAAATATCTCAGATATACATATGCGCATACTCGAGCCTGAATCTGCCAGTGAGTATTCATGACGTATACATAC